CTTGTGGCCACTGTAGATCAATCGCTGGAGGTCCGAAAACTTCGCACGCGCTCGTTCTCGCTTTTGAGTAATACGGCACGTCTCAAACTTGCTGCCGTCGATAAACCCTAAAATGTTTTCCATGAACGATCCCTTGGTCTTGATGGCAGCGGCGTACACCGCAAGTCTTGGAACCACAATTGCGTCGCAAAAGTACAGGAGGCCACTCCACTTGCCGAACAAGATGTCGATTACATCGCTAAAGATCCGGCAAATGGACTCCCTGGATCGACCAAACGTTGCCATCATGTCGTAGTAGCGGCGGGGATAGGACATTCGGAACAGGGTGATGCAAAGGGCTTCGGTTGCAAGGCAGCGTTCCGTGAAGCAGTGATGATGACGGCAGGGAGTTGGAGAGCGGTCACAAGGCGCTGAATGCCAACGACGTCAAAGCGAAACTTAAGTCGGGAATCCGCGTCGCTAATGGTGTGGAGTGAAAACCGCACGTCGGGCACAATAAGGCGCTCAACAGCAAACGCAAGAAGCTCCAGAAGTCGCATGCGCTGCCTGAAAGTGCTGGTGCGCCTCTTCTTGAGGAGGACTTCAAGCTCTTGGCACGAGAGCATGGCGAATGTCTGCACACGTAGCCAGTTCTTTCTGATTGGTTGATGTTATCTGGATAGAAGAAGTTTGCAGCGGATGATGTGCGAAATTCACCTTTCACCACGATCTGTTCTATCTGTGTTCTGACTTTTGGGTTGCGGATAAAATACGGCATGCATTTGCGAAATCTGTCTATTATTGCGAATTCTCCGTCAATATCATCCACTGGAGAGTTTAATTGGGTTGCAAAACATTTCTCGAACACATCTACGTAGGGACCACAATATTCTCTTATCCTGCGGCTTCGCCGCGTCGTCAATTACGTTTGTGGCTTTAACTGTATCGTCCGCACTGGAAAGTCAAGCCAAATGACAAGGTACCATATGAAAGGCTCCTCATGACTTATCTCGGGGCGTGTGCTGAAAGGGTGGTGTAACAGTTCTACGGTACTGTTATCCGGACACATGTCATAGATCTCCATTGTGACATTGAAGTCGGTCGACAATCCAAAGGTTCCAGGTGACCTCACAACAAGTCGCCTGGATTGCTAGCGACTGCACCCACGAGTCGCCTTAACTTTCAATGTTCATGTAGCTGAGCTAGATAGCATAATCCTGCCAATTCATTCTTCATTTTACCTACTTCTTCCTCTGCGTGTGCCCGGTGGGGTAGCATGTTGCGTAGACCTTCACCAAATCCGCATGGGACGTAGAAGGCATGTCGACAGCCGGCTAATTGGGAGCTGAGTGCTCTGGGGTCGAATGCATCCGATACAACAACTCCCAGCGCTCGATGCGAACTCCTTGTGGGCGACGCAACTGGCGCCGGTACCATGGTGCCGTCGGTGCAATAGTCGATCCGTTTGCTGCAAAGTTCACACTCCACCTGAGCTTCTCGGGTGCTGTCCTTGCTTTCTCGGTATGCCGACGGCTCTCGTCCGTAGTGGCATCACCGAGGGCTCCAATGCTACCGTTCAATCATGGCGCCATCTATGAGGATATGGGATTTTCCAGCTCGTAAGCAAGGCCTTGCTTCCGGCCATGGTCATGATGGGGACGGTCGATGACCTTTGTCTGAACAATGAATGGCGTCGTGAACACTACACGAGAAACCGCGACACGCAATAAATTATTTGACAAGTTCTTCGTCTAAGGCAGCGAGGCCGCTATCGTCCGAGTCGATTGTGTCTGGTTCAACTTGGTCCGGTCGACTCGGCTTTTGATTCATCAGGTTCGTGGAATGGGTGGTGATGATGCTGAGCTCCCGCTCCAGCTCGGCAAGGGCTTCGTCATTGGATGTGTCGTCACCAGGAGCGGCATTCCGTTGGACAGGCACGCGATCCACTGCCTTGCTTGCTTTGGTTGAAAGAGTTCGCTCTTTTGGTGGTGCCTTCGTTACGCGAGCTTTTTTCTTTCGCGGTGGGTCCGTCCCCCGTGGCGTTGCCAATGGAGACTTCCTGCTGCTCTTTGATGTGACGATGCCCAGTTGCTGATTCAACGCTTCCAAACCGCTATCGTCAGATGACGATAGTGGGTGGACGAGCTTTGGTTGCGCCGCCTTCCTCTTCCGTGGGTGAGCAGCAGGGGACGTCGCTGCAGGTCGCTTGTTTGGTCTTGTTTCCGTTGGATTCGACGACTTGGAAGAGGACATAGCACGGGTTTGTGGGAGTATCCCCAGTTCCATTTCCAGCTCGGCCAATTCGTCGTCCGTGGTCACAGTAACACCGTCTTGCGAGATCGTGGGTTTGATGGGCCGTTGGGGTTTCGTTGGTTTGAATCGCGGTTTGGATTGTTTCGTCTCGACAGAGCTCACTCGCTTCATCGTAGACACCACCCTCAGTTCCTTTTCCAGCTCACGCAGTCCATCGGACGACGAGTCGTCGCTGTGCTCGCCCACAATGCGTACCGACGGCGAATTCTCGCGCACGAGATTTGCATGCGTTGCAGGTTGGACGGTTGCCGATGCTGAAGTCGAGTCACGTGCAACATGCCAGGTCGCCGTTGGTGCCACTTGAACAAGTTGCTGAGGCACGGGGGCCATTTTCAACGCCTGCTCCAGTGGCGGTGTGAATGTCTGAGCAACCTGGGCTTGTCGTGGTGGATTTGTCCGTGATTTTGACGGAATAATTGCGGAATGTTTTGTGGTTTGCACAGCTCTTGAGACAGTCCCTAATGGACTTGTTGCTGTTGCTGCCACTCCTATCGTTGACGCGTTGACGTGAACAGGAGGTGGGGAATTCTTCGAAGCACTGGAGCGTGGTTCTGCCGTCGTTGGGGCTGGCGGAGTGGGTCTTGCCGCTAGATCACGTCCTTTCCAGGACGATAAAGCGGATCCAAGCCATCGGGTCGAGCCAACGTCCAACATGTCCGCATGATTCGATGACGCCATTGGTCGTGTCGACTGAATCGGTGAGCTTGACAGCGGACGTCGCCCTCGTGGAGTCGCCGCTTCCAGTGGCGAACTGGCCAAGGTAGCTGGTCCATCAACTTGGACACTGTGCAACGGCATTCGAATGGTGTGATTTTGACTTGCCGAGTGTGACCCAGCTCGTGGAGACGGAGGATGACGTAGTGGCGGGATGGTGGCAGGGGTGTTTGCTGTCTCTTCAATCGCATTTTCAGTCGGTGCACGAGTTTCTGCTATCGAAGTGCGATGAATCGACGGCACGGCCATGATCGACTTCTGTTGTGGCAATGCAGAAGCTACTGGTGGCTGGCGAAGCATTTCCCTTGCTCGAGACCTGGCTAGTGACCGAGCAGTGGGCTGATCTTTGGAGGGAGGTCGCACTGGGTCTCGTTGAACAAGTGGCTCTGTTGAAATCTTGTGTGAAACATGCGGCACATATTGTGGGGTGGGCCGCGGTTCGGCACGTGAAGTTGGTTGGGTGTACTTGGCTGTGTTAGTCGTGGCAGCCGCAGTGGGTCGATTTAGTTGAGGTTTGTCCAGGGTCTCTCTGGCGTTGTCGGCAGGTCGAAGTTTCGCCGACGCCGCTAAGATTTCTTGTTCCAGCTCGTCCAGCGCGTTGTCGCTCGAGTCCGACGAAGATGACAATGCTGGCAATGCAAACACTTCCGTGTCAAGATTGAGCGAAGCTGTCACCACGTTCGATTTGGACTGCAGTGCCTCCTGTGCCGTCCAAGTCGCGACGTTGGGGTCAATCGGCTGCACAGTAAGGTTGTTTGTGCCATCGAGACTCGAACAACTCGATGGCCGACCTCGGGTCGGGTCACGAGGAGGTGGAGCCGACCGCTTTGACACTTGGGTCGATTGCGAGGGGGTAGACGACGTGGAGGGACCTTGTTGGGCGGACGGCACTGCTTGACGAGCAAGAACGCTGGCTTCAAGTTCAGCTTCAAATGCATCGTCGTCATCTTCGCTTGAAGTCGAGGAAGATAATGACAGCTCGACCACGGGAAGTATGTTGGATGGGTCTGCCGTCGAAGGAGCCACTTCTGCCTGGGCCGCAGGGTTTGAAGCGACCAGTTCGTTCTCAATATCTTGCGCCCACCCATCGTCGCCGTCCTCATCATCGTTGTCATCACTGGCTAGCTCTGTCCTGATTTCGGCATGAACAGGTGCATACGTTGTGGTCTTCGCCTGCTCCTGTCCTGTGGACGTTTCAACGATTCCATCAGGAGCATTTGCAACTATATTCGCGTCGCATGGAGCATTGGACCGATCGTTCTCTTCGGTGTGATTCGCCCCTTTGGTCAACATGTCCGTGTCGTCGTCGAGGAGCTCGGATTCCAAGTCGGCTTGCAAGATCGCAGCCAATGCTGCCTCGTCGTGCAAGAGCCGATTTGATTCAATCGAGGGATGATCTCGAGGCTCGTCTGGCTCCGTGTTGTCCGAACCCTGTAAAACGCGATGCAGCGATTGCACAAACCCAGTTAGTTCCTTCTGCTTTGTTGCTGCAGGCATGTTGAACAACACTGCGGCGCGGCGGCGTTGGCCCGCGGCCTTTCCTTCCTACAAGATTCTCGTTTGCACATCATCGTTGCCTTTGGTACCGTCCTGTATACCTTTGTGGAGATTCGAAATGACGACATCGCTGCTATATACTCGTTGTGAAGTCGCTCGATTTCGCTCGTGTCCAGTGCAAGTGGAAGAGCCTAGACACCATCCACGACACGTTCAAATAAGAACACCCATGGTGCCAAAGGAAGGAAACCTCTTCAGGGGATTCCATGGAGGGTGATGGCGTGTCATGTGCGGATGCGCCATCGAGGCTCAACTGATCCAGAGCCAGGTCTTGGACGGACGGCGGGACTGGCAGGCGGAGGGCAGCTCGAGGGAGCGAATACCCTCGCACGCATTTGCAAAACGCACCGGTTGTGTCAAGGTGCTGGAGCATGTGCTCGAGTTCTCGTGTGGGCTTTCGGTGGTGCAGACGCCACAGGTCTGTCCACAGCGGGAGCTTTGCGAGTTCCACCGCTGCATCTGAAGGTGCATAACCACTTAAACAAGGTGACTCGAGGGGTATGGAATGGCACCTAAGTGTAGGAGGATCTTCTGCTTGATCGGGGTGATCTGGCATTCGTACGCGCTGTACAACGCGAACGTGCATCCGATGACGTGCCACAAGAATACTCCTCCCTCCTTGTCACAACGTTTTTGGTTGATGGACCATCCATATAGTGATATGGCTTGTAATAGAGAGCCTACACAACCGGTGAATGCCCGAGATTCGTCGGTGCCTCTAGCAGCGCACCCAAACACGCACGCAGCATGAGATATGTAATCTCTGGGCGAGTTATGTTGCCAAAGTCAATGTGATATAGCGCAGAGAACTGCTGGTCGATCCACAGCCTTTTGAACACTTTGAACTCTTTCACTGGCTAGAATATGACCGACAGGTTGGCCACGGGTTTGGAGCATAGCAATACCTCAGCCATGAACGCCTCCAATAGGGCATGCAACTTTGTCTGCATCAAGCTCGTAAATTCTTCCTTGATGTCCATGTCCTTCCGTCGAAGCGCCGGGACCCCCGACAGCGGTCGCATGCCCATGTACGCACACGGCTCATCTTCCATTCAGGTAGGCTCCCGCGCGATGAGCAGGTCACAAGGTGGATTATCCGGAATTCTCTTTATCCGAACAACTGCATGTGTGTCCCAGGAATATAGTAGTACTAATATGGTTAGTACTCTCTGCAGTAGTACTAGTTGATGAATTTTCATTCTTTTTGTTGGCAAATCGTGTTTGCTCAACCTGTTTCAAAATTCCCAAAACTGTGCTGACATCACGCTGTGCAGACAGTTACGTTTCCAATTTTAATTGGTTGAAATATTGAAACGCAAACCCTTTTGACCAATGAATTGTCTACATACCAGCTTCGATTTTTTAAATTAGCCAATCAGTGTTGACCTCCATGGACGCTTCGGCCCACCAATCCTCCCGCGAGTGTCATTTTGAAACTCGCTGAACATGGCAGCTGCATTGTGGACGGAATTCAAGGCGCTGACGTCGCCGTACGAGTCGCTTGTGCTTGACTGGGCCGACCCGAGCGGGCAATATAAGCAGAACCCTATGGTGGACTGGCCGTTGGCTGACTTCAGCTCGGCGGCTGCCATCGCATTGGGGTACTTGGCGTTTGTGATGGTCGGGACGCTGGTGATGAAAGCAGGCGTGCCTGCGTTCAACACGTCGGCGTTGCAATTCGTGTACAACCCGATCCAAATTGCGCTCTGCTCGTACATGTGCATTGAAGCCGGCATCCAAGCGTACCGCCACAACTACTCCGTCATGCCGTGCAACAGCTACAACACGACGTCCCCCGTCATGGGCAACGTCATGTGGTTGTTCTACATCTCCAAGATCCTGGATTTTGCCGACACGTTCTTCATCATTGCTGGCAAGAAGTGGAAGCAGCTCTCGTTCTTGCACGTGTACCACCACTTGACGATCTTCTCCATCTACTGGCTCAACTTCCGCGCGTTGTACGATGGCGACATCTACCTCACGATTATCTTGAACGGGTTCATCCACACCATCATGTACACGTACTACTTCGTCAGCGCCCACACCAAGACGATCTGGTGGAAAAAGTACTTGACGACCATGCAGCTCATTCAGTTTGTCACCATGAACGTCCAAGCCGTCATGACCATCTCCAAGGAGTGCAAGGGCACGCCCCAGAACATCGCGATCATGTACTTAGTGTACATCCAGTCGCTCTTCTGGCTCTTCATGCACTTCTTCATCACGTCCTACTGCTCGTCGCCGCGCAAGGAAGGCACCGACAAGAAGCGCAACTAGATTGACTCCCGCGCGCCGCCTTGTCTTCATTGCATCCAGTTGCCAGAGATTTGCATACTTGTTCGTGGCACGCCTAGGTTAGGCATCCATGAAGTGTACCTTCAAAATAAAAATACGTATCACGGACTATCTTTAGAGGAAACGATTCAACAATTTGCCAGGTGCTATCTTTTGTTTAGGCGTAAGAGATGATGTGTATGCCTAATTTAGGTATGTCGGGACGGGTGAAATCCTCACGGGAAAGATCGGGCCAAGACCATGGCGCTGACACGGCGAACGAGCAGCTTTCTGAGCATGCGATCTGGCACGGCGACGAACATCCTCACGGAGGTGCAAATGGCGACCGATCTCGACGTCGCACATGCGTCGTTACTGATTGAGGTTGTGATTACAGGTCAAGATCAAGACGAAGAAAGCCCTCCACGAAGCGGAAAAAGTCTACTGCGAATGTACACTCCGAATGCCGACATCTCGTTGCGGTGATCTCAAGCATTCATACGCTCATAGTTGACATCAATGTGGCCGACTTGCTTGCGCAACTGGCGCTGTACTGCATGATGGGCGGCGAGTACGACGAGGCATTGCCGCTTCTCCATCGAAAGCTTGTCATCCATGAAAAGTTTGGGCCCGACGAATGCGTTGGTGACACACTGCAGCAACTTGGAACAGCTTATCGTCTGTACGCGAACCACGCGTTGGCTGTGCAGCATCTCGAGAAGGCGCTCGATAGGCGGGAGAAGGCCGCCGTCGCAACCAGGTCGAGGAAAGATCACGAAAAGGTAGCAGAAACACTGAACAGCTTGGCTCTTGTGCACCACATGTACGCTTCATCCTTTGCATCCGTGTTTTCATTCTGTCTGGTGGCGCACAGCCAAGGAAACGCCGCCGTCGCAGACGCCTACCATTCGAGAAGCGTCGAAACGTATGCGATGTGGGCAGGAGCCGACGACGGACAGAGTGAGGACATTCCGTGGGAGGTCTTCAAGCGCGTACAATCGGAGAAAAGCACCCCGACGATGGCTCAAAACAGCATGACGCTGCTCAAGACGAACCTGCGCATGGCGATACAGGACGTTGCGGTCCATTGTTCAGTCAAGCCATCATCCTCCCACCCTGCAGAGAAACGTGTGTTCGGGTCGATGCACGCTGGTAGCCACATGAATACCCGTGAACATGACGGCAAGGCACTGAATGCGCCGTTGGTCACGGCCCCAACACGTATGCGGTCTCTGTCCGTTGGCTCGGCGCCTCTCTCCGACAACCGACTTGACCAAATCCTCCACGGTATCATTTCTTGCATGTGCTCTTCAGACGTCGCTGACGTGGCAACGCCGTCTCGGCAACTTCAGATTCGCCCAACCGTCGCAACCTGAGCCATGCCGTCGGCTCGACACCCCCCTCCCACCGACATCAACACCACATCAGCGCCGACCACGTCCCAGCGGTGGCTGGAGCATCCCATCCACCGTTTGTTCGAGTCGATCCTGCTCCAGCAGATCGATCCACTGTCCATGAACCGATCACGACGTTCCCGATCCTCGTGCACCGCATCGAAGGGGTAAAGCATCTTGTCGCGGCTGGTACGTACAATGCCGTCGAAAATTCAAATTAACACAACGACTAGGGCACGTCGTCGACGCGGACGTAAATCGCCTCGCGTGTGATATTGCTTTGATTGCCGCGGGGGATTTGCGGCAAGTGGGGCTGTGCATGCTCGGTCTGCTGCACGACTCGTTGAAACTCTCGCGGCAGCTCGACTGTCGTCAAGTACAATGTGTGTCCATTCCATTCGTCAACGTCCAGGATGCTCTTGTAGTTGCCCGTCGTCGAAGGATACCTCGAGAAGAAAAGCTCGTCGCTGTTTCGGGGATGGGAGAAGCGGTGGTTCAAGGTCGACACCCGGACCGCCGTCATGACGTACTTTCATTCGAAAGAAGATCACATGCGCGGGTTTGCCCCGCGCGGCACGTTTGCGTTGGCGCGGATTTCGCACATTGTGACGCACCAGCACTTGCGGTACGTCCGTCATTTCGTTGTGGGCCACGGCACCTCCTCGAGATTGAATGCCATGGATGTGCAGCGGCAGCCACTACGCCTTTGACATTGTTGTTGACATGGGTACTCGAGCGAATCCGCATGCATGCCGGACGTTCGAGCTGCGCAGTGACTCGGCGACGGATCTCAAGAATTGGGTGGACACCATTGAAAAATACAAAACCGCCACGGCCGCGCCAAAGGCGCCGGGCGCCTCGCCATAGCCGGCGGCGCATGACCAGCTCGTCGTTTCCATCGCTGAGCTACCCACGAGATGGAGTCCTCCCATCGAAATGGAGATCTTGTTTTAAAACGAATGGCGGCAGCTGTCGCTCTCGATCGTGTTTGTGTCGAATGCAGCCGAATCCATCCGTCAACCTCGCTTTCCAGAGTCCTCATGGAGCTGCTGACGCCGCAATCCACATGCCCTCTCGTCCCTTCCACTGCCCCCCTGTCGTCGATCACCCACTCTTTACTCAAGCAGTGGAATCGCCATGTCAATTCGAGCTTGATCGCCTTTGTCCTGGCTCAAGTGGCTCGATCGGAACGCGTCGTCAATGCGAATCGTAAACATGCGCCACGTCTTGATGTCGAGCACGTAAATGGCGTCGCCATGTCGAATGCTGACGAGACCGCACATGAACGCAGACGCCTTGTCGAGAAAGAGAATGTCCGAAAACACCCACGGGGCTTTTCGGTACAAGTAAAAGGCCGACGCGGGCAGCCACAGGGACTGGCGATGCGGCGGGAGGGCAAACGACGGATGGGCCATGCGCTGGTACGCATAGCACACGACCAACGTGCCGGCCGTGATCGCGCACAGGAGCGCAAACCGCGTGCTGCTGCCGATCGCGACCGTGCCGGCTAGACACACCACTTGAAAGTCGACTTGAACGACGTCGCACGAACGCGCGAGTTCCAGCGTCGGCTGGACCGGCGCCACAATCGTTAGCAACACAGCCAGCGTCGATGTGATGGCCGAACTGTACGCCTTGTACGACGCCGTGTGTGCGCGGGTAAAGAGCATGCCGATGTCGCTCAGGATCGTCTCGAGCCACGAAATTTCGAGCCCTGCCAGGAACGTCAGGAGCACATAAACTCCCGTCGGATGCGGTGCCTGGATCGTTGTGAACACGCCGCGGACGTCGAGTTTCAAATTGGACGTTGACAGGAGGGCTATCGCGACCATGCTTCGGAGAAAGAGGAGGAGCCGGCCGACCCACACAACGCCAGCCACGCGACTGATGGCGAGCAAGTTGCCGCCTTCGACGTCGCCGCCACTGACAAACGTGTACACGAGCGTGATGGCCGCCGTCACAAACCCGACGCTCGTCGTGTACTGGATGCACTTGTGGCAGTAGTACGCGACATTTGTCGGGGTCTCCAATTCGCTAGGCTGAAATGTGTCGGGCATGTCGCGGAGCGATATGACCGTGAGCGGCGCGCCAGAGTCGCCATGCAGCGCCACGACTTCCCGCGCCCCTTGCGCCCATTCCGCCACTAACGACCATCCCAACACTGTGAAGTGCGGATCGCCGATCGGGTCGATCAAGTCTTGCCGCCACAGCTCGATGTCGGTGTCGACGCCCACGGGCTGGACAAACTGCATGACCTGGACGTGCGTTTCAACGACAGCTTGCTGCGCCGCTGGGACAAGGGTCGCGAGCGCCGCCAACTCCTGGGACGAAAGGTATGTGTGCATCCATTGCAGCAGAGGGACGAGCGTCGACAAACACCGCGGCGTGGACGTCGCGACCGTGACCGCCGCACACACGTCGTGGATGAACGCGGACGCGTTCGCTTGCGACGACGTCGTGGCAAGCAGCGCAAGCGACCCCGTTTCCATGTCGAGTTGAATCACTTCCCCAAATGCGCCGCTGCATGACGCCGAGTGGCTGAATTGGGTCAAAATCCCCGTCAGCAGCACTTGCCCTGTCGTTTGGCTCGGGCAAAATGGACTCCCTCCAAGTACGTACGGGTTGAGCTCGTTCCACTTGCGTGGCGCGGGGCGAAACGTCGATCGCGACGGAAGGACAGACGCCTGGGCGTCGAGTGTGCTCGCAATGGCGGTCTTGATGGCGACGGTCACTGCCTGCAGGAGGGCCAGCATCGGTCGGGGGCACGGGACATGGCGGACATCGATCGTGCCAAACGGACCGACGGCGTCCCGAACGAGCGCCAGGCCTGCGTTCAGTGGGGACGCCAACAAGTTGCTGGCAAACAAATTCGATTCCATCGCGGAATCGTTGGCAAACGCATAGTTGGCGCTGCCGCGAATGAGACTACGCCCTGGCTTGTCTATCGTAGTCGTCGCCGCGCGCTTCAACATGGGCATCGCATCACGCGCAGTCATGTTGGCCACGACAAGCGCCAGGTCGTTAGCGAACCCCCAGTGCATCTTGAACGACGTTTGCAGCGCAAACCGGTACGTCCCGTTGGACTGTTTGATGGTGAGCGCATACGTGCTGGCGAACGTGGTTTGAACTCGAATGCTTTCCGCGATCCCGAGGGCTTTGTAGTTTTGCCACGCAACGACGTACGACGTAATGTTGTGGCGGCGCCAGTATGCGACCTCGTCGGGTGCCGAGGTCGTCACGGCGGCGGTCGACTCGAGCCACTGCCGCCCTGCCATCGACATTTGCAAGTCGCGATCGATCCCGATCTCCAACGCGTCGCCCCAACATGCCCGGATGTTGGTGTTGCGCAGCAACGACTCGAGAAACACGGCGCCGTTCATGGCCATGGACGCGCAACGGTGCTGGCGACGGGCGGACGTCGCCATCTCCCACCGCTGGTCAAAGTCGACAAAGCAATACTGCGTTGCAATCCACGCGGCGTCGCAGCCATCCGTTCGCCGAAGGCCGCGGATGTTGTCGAGCAGCGACGTCTCGTCAAACTGGACATCGCGCGCCGCCAGCGCGCTCGCTCTGACTTCGGCGATCGATTTGTTGTACAGGGTCGAATCGCCCGTCGATGGATCGCCCAGCGCGAGGACGACGGGTGGCGCGGGGCTGCCGTCCCCAGCATACAGAAACTCGCCACGGCGGTAGATGAGCTGCGTGTTGTAAACCTTTGCCAGGAACGAGTGCATCCCGGTCGTGTTGAAGTCGGCCCATAAGAAGTCGTTGGCGAGCTTGACTTGCGACACGACAAAGAAGAGGACGCTCGACACGGCCGACGAGATCAAAAACACAACGCCCAGCACGACGCGGTACCGATTGAGCCACCTCCGGGAATGATGCGGAGGGTGGAGCACGGGCGGTGGGCTCGCAGGCAACGACGACATGATGAGCGTCAGTGCCCCCAACTTTAGAGTCGGGTGCATGTCAGCGGGGGTTCTCGCCAGCAGCGGTGGTGGCGGTGGCTGCTCCGACGGCCGTTGCGCTTCTTGGATGGGAATGATCAGCCACAGCAACACGCTGAACAGGTGCTCCTTCGAGTTGTGCATGAACGGGACAAACCCGCTGATGACACACGCCGTACGGTCGCAGTAGACGGCCGACACGTTGTCGATCAAGTAGTGCGCGATAGACGGGACCATGACGGACGCCGACACGACGGCGGCTGGTGGCCGCCGCGGCAACGACGTGGCGACCGACCAGAGCGTAACGATAGCGCAGGCGAGGGCAATGCATCCAATCTGCATCAACCCGAGGGTCACCAGGCGCGTGTAGCTCCCGATTTCGACCACACCGGACACGCACTCGAGCTGCATGTCCATGAAGCTGCTGGAGCATTGCCGATCCATGGTGGCGGTGGGGACGATCGGCGCCGTCGTTTCAAGAACGACCGAACTGGTCCAGATCATCGCCGACGCCAGCGCGACGATTTTCTTGGTGTGGCGCGTTGTAAACAGCGTCAGGATGTCGCATAGCGCCAGGGTCAGCCATAGCGTCTCGCCAGCAGCCACCATTGCGGACCACAGCGACCGCGGAGCGACGGAAAATTGTGTCCACGGGTCGGCCGTCAGTGAGATGGCGGACGTGCTCAGGACGCCCATCGCGATGGTGCCGCGGAGGAGCAGGAGGGGTCGACCTATCCAAACGACGCCAGTGATGGCATTGAACGTCACGAGGGTGTATCCTGCAGGAGCGACGCGAAAGAGCACGATCGTCTGTGCGAGGAAGGCCAGGACGAGGCACAGGACCCCGTTAAAGTAGACAAACAACATCCAGACGAGCGACGTGAATCGGGACGGCACGCCGAGCGGGTCCGGGCGAAACGAAATGGATTCAGACTGACGGGACATGAGTACGACAGTTGCGTCGTCCCCTTCGAATCGCACGACCTCCCGTGATCCTTGAATCCAATCGACAACCATGATCCAGCCCGCTGCTGCCCACAGCGGATCGGAAGGGTCGAGCAAAGCGTATCGCAGGAGCGCCGGCGTGCGGTTGACCGCGGCGGCGTACTGCACGAACTCGAGCACTGGAAACGCGTCGTCCGCGGTCGTGTTATGCAGGTCATGCGGTAGCAGTACCGACTTGGCAATCGGCGGTGCCAGGAAAAGGTCCAGCGCTGGTTCGACACTCTGTAGGAAAGGATGGCTCGACGGTGACCACGGTGATGAAAGGCGCTGCAACGACAAGGCGAGGAGCGCCGACCGCCGCGAGGGCCGCACGGTTGCGGGCATAAACGGCTCCGTGCATCCGTCATCAAAGCCAAAGCCGTCTTGGACATAGTCATGGCCATGGCCATCGTAACAGAACAGATTCCCGCCAAAGAATGTCCATGGTCCGCTTTGGTGCTGCCACTTTGCAGGCGGCGGCAGCATGATTGTCGTCGGGGTCGCCGGCAACCGACTGTACGTGTCCGAGAACTGGGCGCTTGCATGCAAGAGGTGGCGCAGGCGGTTGGCGACATCGTCGTACGCAGCCAAGAGCGGCACCGGCACTGCAACGTACTTGAGGTCCATGGCCCCGAGGGGCCCAATGTAGTCGTGGAGGAGGATGCTCGGCATGGTGTAGGGGTACACGCCAATCCAAAACTCTGGGGACAGGTCCTCGCCCAAGTGGACGAAAGACGCGTTATCTGACCGCACCAAGCTCGCCGTCATGTCGAGGGCGTAGAACAGGTCGTTCCACACGCCGAAGGACGCAATCGTGCTCGTCCAGAGCACTCCGCGCGACTTTTGGATGAGGTGTTTGATCGGGATCGAAAACGTTTGCCACGCGTTGCGAATCAAGACCACGTCACTGAGCCCGTGGTCTTGGCCGTTTGCCCACGACACGGTGTACTCTGTGACGTCGTGCGATAGCCAGTACGCTTGCTCTTGGGGCTGCGAGAACGTTTTCAAGGCGGTCGTGGTGGCTTCTAACCACTGCGTTCCGCGGGGATGGCTGCGGACGGCCGACCCGTACGCCATGTCAAACCCCATCCCGTGCTGCTTGTACCATGACGTCCACTGCGTATTGCGTAGCATCGATTCCATGTACACGGCGCCGTTATGTGTGTATCGATCCAGGCACCGCCGCTGCCGCTTGGCGGTGTGCGCCACTTCCCAAATCTTGGTAAAGTCGAGCCAGCAGTAGCACGTGAAAGAAACGACAGTGTTGCCCGTCGTCTGGGCACGCAGCGCAAGGATGGCGGCCCCGATGTCCTGCATCTGCTCCATCCCGATGCGCCGTGTGTCTGTGGCTTGAATGTCGACGTTCGTGGTCGCGTCTGCGTAGTTCTTCTCCACAGCCAACCGGTCGAAGAGTGGAAGGGCGGCCGCCGTCGACGTATTCCACATGCGCGAGTTGAAGTAGTCTGCTACGAACGCATGGACCCCCGTCGTGTTGAATTTGGTCCAGAAGAGATCGTTCTCGAGGAACGGAGCCAACATGGACGCGTACGAGATGGCACACGCGATAGACAGGATAATGTACGCGACGCCAAACACAAGGTCCAGGCGTTTGGAGGGCCGAGGAAGTCGGGCCCGCCATGGAGTCGTCGGCGGCGGCGGCACCGCGGCCATGTCCCAAGGAGCAACTTTAGTCCAAGCCATCGCGAGTGTGTTTTCGATGGGCCAGCCAGGCGCCACGCTTCGGTTTCGCGCCGTTTCGGACTTCGTTTCGGGTCACAAAAATTCGTTCGACTGCACGCCAAGCTTCGGTTTCGCGCCGTTTCGGACTTCGTTTCGCTTCGGTTTCGCGCCGTTTCGGACTTCGTTTCGGGTCACAGAAATTCGTTCGTCGATTGCACGCGACGCTCCGGCCACGTGGCATGCGGTGCGTCTGCCCGCGCTCCACGTCGGCATTTCGAGATGGGACGTCATGACTGCTTTGCCTGGTGGGTACACCTTGGTTGTGTGCTCTACTGCCACCGTTTTCTTTGGACCGAGTCACTGGCACCAGCACGAACTCTCGTCGTCCACGGCGACTCGGCGGGTCGTGGCCGACGTTGTCATCGTAGGCGATCGTGAAGAGTCGTGCCGCGGTCCCCTGCGCACGTGAGCGGGCACAGTTCGACATCCGCACTGGCCGAGTTCCCCACCAGTAGTACATCAACTCGCACGTTCGTTTCCATTGGTTTTAGATCCGTACACGTCATGGCGAGTCCACGAGCGAGTGCACGCGTCGGTCGTACACGTTCGTCGAGACTTGGCTTCCAAACACCTGCGTCAAGAGTGCGCGGGACAACGGAATCCACGCGCCTGCTACACGTAGTCGGGCTGGTGAGTTGACGAGCGCGTCATGCAGCAGCCGATTCTCGTAGCCGTTGGTGGGCGTCGTCGGGTTGAACCCTTGTGGGCATAAGTTGCTTCCATCCATGTCCATCGCGTGCGTCGTCATCGGCGCGACTATCCACGTCGCATTGTGCACTGCTTTGCACGCCATGGCCATGCGTGTCGAGTTGTCGCACGGCCGCGACAGCCATCGCGCCGACGGACGAAGCATGGCTGTGCACTCGGACGCGCCGACGGCCTGTGGCTCGGACGGGGCGAACGACCACACCATCGCCTCCATCCGCGTCGGCGTGATGTTGTCCGGCGACGGAATATTCACGTTGCACTCGAGGAGCTTGGGGAGGACTGCTTCGTCGATCAGGTGCAGGTTCGGGCCCAAGTGGCCCATTGCATTGAGCAAGCCATATTGAATCTCGCTCGTTTCAGGGCGGAAGAGAACGCCGTGCGAGGTGAGCGTCGACACGGACGATCCGGCGAAGCGGCAGTCGGGGTACGTGGCGAAGGGGAGGTCGGGTTCTTGCCATGAGCACAGCGACATTTTGTGGAAAAGCAGCTCGTTCCCGACCGGACTGTAGTCGGACGCCGTGAGGAACGCCACGCGCTTGCCTTGAGCTAGGAGTGTGTCAAAGGTCGGCCATGGTTTGCCCCCAGTGTCGTCGGGCCGCAGGATCTCGGCGACCGGGAAAGACTTTTTGATCGACGCTAGAAGCCGCTGAACTTTGTGCCATTTGAGCAGGTTGGTCTCGTCGTCAAAGTATACCAAGAGAAACTCGTGCTCGTTTTCTACGGGCGATTCGTTCAATGCGAACGAGATCGAGCACACGTACGAGGAGCATGCAGCCAGGCCGCGATTTCGTCGAGCGCGTCTTGAACTGGTCGTTGCGAGTGCGCAGGGATGCTGCTCAGTGACGGCATGCACCCGACGGTTTCTGAATCCCACTGGATTTCAATGCCGAGCCGTTTGGCGATTTTGTTGAACCAACTGATGAGCTCGTCCAACATCGGCGACTCGAACCCACCACAGTGCGCGATACGCAGATCGTCGTCGACCCAGTGCACGTCAAGCTCGACAAGTCGCGCACCCAGGCGGAGTTGATCTGTGAGAGAGAAAAGCTGGAGAAACGGTGAGGTAGGGCAAGGTCAATGGCATGAATGCGGTGGATGGCACCTGATCGTTCGTGTGGACGCTGAGATGTGGCGGCATCCATGGAATGTACGCCAGCAGCTTTTGAAATACATGATCTTCCACGCCATAGCCCTACGCATGCGGGTGAGAACAGGACAGGGGTGAACGTCATACGTCAACGATGGTGATGGCCGAGTTGTGCGTGCCGGGGAGCTGAGCGTCACAAAGTGAATGCGTGTAGGCAAGCTTGCGCTGCAGCGCCAGTGCACGGTCGGCCCATGGTGCGATCGCGACGGTGCCGCGTTCGCATACGATGACACAAACGTTGTGAACGTCGCATTTGCGTATTTTGGTACAGTGCACCCCCGCGGGAACTGTGTCGATGTCGGGATCCCGCGGCGATGCAGCAAGGCCCTCAAGACTTGCAGTCATTCCACCGATAGTGCTACCAAGCGCGGCGGCGGCGACGGACGCAAGCAGCCATGGATGCTTCATACGAAGGAGCAAGTCGAAGGCGAGATAACAAACTTGGGCACATGCGTGGGTTGAAATTGTTCAATTTAAAATAATGTATTCAGCATAGTGGTTATAAGTAAGAATGCATATTAATTTGAGCTTGGTTTAAATGGGTGGATTTCTTTCCGCTTCGTCAAAATCTTGAAACGGCCCGCGACCACCGCGGCAATGGAAGGGAAGAAGGACGCCTCGTGGATGGAGGTACTTCCCAGGGCTAAGTGCATGTATGCGCGGCGGCGTGCGCCAAGCACACTTCTCGGACGGGAAAGGTCGTTACGGCGGTTTCGTCAAGGTGGATTGCCGACGCCATTCACGCCGAGTGGATGACATGGACGAAGATACACCAACGCAACCGCCGGACAATCGGATGTCACAGTTGAGCTCGACCGATGTTGCTGGTATGCGAGCGGTATGTCCCGATGGCGCTCGTCAGCTACGTCGCATCGTTGTGAAACTTGAATCATTGTAGCTGTTTGTATTCTACGACACGAATCGCGATGGGAACCTCTCGTCTGGCCAAGCTCTTCGCATCTTTCGACTGGTTCGCAAGTGCTTTATGTTCGCGTGTAGTATCTGACGACGCCATGATAGCTTGGGCTCTCCGTGAACGAGTCGCATGTCTTCGATCTCGAGCAAATGTCTTTCGCAGGTGTGTGTGTGTGTGTCCCGATATCGGACTCTGACCGACCCATCTCACAAGAATTCGTCGCGATCATCGACTGTCACGTTCGCACGCCGCAGTCCTCGGACCCTATTGCCGAGTGGGCAGTCGTCGACCATTTCCGCAGCGATCAAGTGACTCCCCATCAGCTTGCATACTTTCTCGCGAATTGCGAGAAGAACATTCCTCCCGCCCATCTCGACCGCTTCCTCATGCTGTACACGTACGTTCCGCGATCTAGATTTTGTCTGCGGTGCATACCGGTATTTTTTGTATTTTTTGCCAATCTTTTTGCTCCTTCGAGATCGAAGGAGCAAAATGATACAATTTCCGTGAAAACCGTCGAATTTTAATTGAAATTTTTGCATTTTGATATGCGGTTTTGACATTTGAGATTCTAGGCAATCTGACGAACAAACGTTTGTGGATTTTCCGAATTTTCAAAAGTTCCTCGTCGACTACCGCGCGCGGTCGGAAAAGCTGTCGGCGATCCCGTCAGAAGTGCGACGTAATGCAGTCCAAGTACATCACGTTCAGATACCAGAAGGCTTGGGCATCACCACGGATAACTCGACGGCGCGGGAGGACGACGACGACGTCTTTGAATGAATGAAACCAAATCTTGATTTGGGGTTGACACAATCTAACTACGGCGCGACGCCAGACGCAGCCGCGGCGTTGGCGCGCTTCTTTGCTTTTGCCTTGCGCTTCTTGTTGCGGTTCTTCGCAGATTTCGAGGGGGAGGGTTCACTGACAGCGTGCCGTTGCAGGAACGCTTGAAATCCTTCCTTGTCCACATACAACGTATCGGCCCCCAAACTACAGCAATACGTGTCGTTGAGCAACATGGACGATGACGATAGGTGGACACGTACAGGTTAGTGGCGGCAGGTGCGCAACCTGAAAGGAATTCAAGAATTGCACTCTGAGGAATGTCGAGGTGGCAATTTTGCAGGAATTCGTGGAGCTGGTTGTACGAGATGGTATTATCCTGTCGCATGTGTGATAGTGTGGGCAATTGCTTCTCCTCTTCTTCGTCGACGTCGCCGGCAACCGACGTTGGCCGCGACACACTCTGGGCATCAATGGATTGGATGACCTCTAGTCGCATGTCAAGTGTGTGACATGTGCATCACTACCATCGATGTAGAGGTCACACGCACCATCGACAGGAATGTCTTCTAACAGTTTGATCTGGTCGTCGGTGAGCTCCAGTCCAAGCACTTTGAACACCTTGCGTGTTTCTTCTGGCGTTAGATTCACGTCGTCATGCTTGTTGCTGAAGAACTCCATGATCTAATAGTCCAGCACACACCGTGAGCTTCGTCGTCCGCGTCGTGCACGCATCTCACACCTACCGATTGCATCGTTGCCGGGGTCTCCATCATGCCTGAGGCGTCTGTCGTCGTCGAGCGCGTTTGAAGAATGCCGCGGGACGCTCACAGGCTGGAAATAACCTTCGACGCGATTTGATTGGTTCGTCGAAATCTTGGAAAGCAACCTCTTATCGTTCGACGGCGGAACCGCCGGCAGCTAGCGGCACCATGGAACATGAATGCCATGACGAACACGACGTGCATTTGTTCGATCGACATGGACGAGGGTTGGAAGTGGACTTGCGTGGAAGCAGCGACGAAGGCAGGATGAACGAGGGGTTGATGGTCACCTCCATGCTTACCTAGTCCCCGCGATCACATGGCGCGGCGAGTCCACATCTGGGGACCAGGAGCGCCGCCACTTCGTGAAAGTGCAGCTATTCGATAAGCCATTTTCATTGCCAATGTGGAACCTTCGCTTCGCATGACTTGAAGCACGTGATGCACTTGGACAGCGCGCCTGTTGAAATCGACGGCAGTGTGAGAGATATACGAACTTCCTTGCTAGTGAAGGCAATATCCTCGTATCCCTCTGCCGGAAGAAGTGTTTGCACATAAGCTGTTCGCTCGCATCGTCGTTGGCCCGTGAGTACGTTGTTGCCTCGCAAATCCCCACGCCGTCGGTGCCTTCATCCCTGGCGCCAGAGTGGCTAGTGGTGTAGATGAGGGTGTGTCACTAAGTCAAGGGACAAACGTACTTTGAAACTTATTTTATTATTTCAAAATGCGTTGTACGAGTGACGATATTTTAAAGATAAGTGCTTGAGAATAGTGATAGCCGCTGACGGTGTCAATTTCACGGTCATTTTCAACAGTTGGCGCCATGGCAACGGCATCAAGACCCGACGCGGACTACGCTGCGTTCGGACGAGAGAGCGCGCGCATGCTGATGAACCGCGTCTCTGAAAAGGACACGTCAGTCGCGTGGAGTCACGTGAAAGAGTACGACGGCATCAACATCTCGCGTGGTGTCGTTGACGACAACGACTGGAACGTTATCAAGGCTGTGGGGATTGTCCGCTGTCCTGCTCGTATTCTTGCAGATCGTTTGACTGATCCCAAGGAGATGAAAACGTTCGACGAAAACACGGATGTGTGCAATGTCTTGGTTGACGTCGATGACCGCACAAAGGTGCTGCACGTCAAAGCCAAGGCTGTGTTCCCCACCACTGCTCGCGACTTTGTCGTAGTGACTGCAAAGGAAGAGTCCATCGAATCGAAGAATTTAACTATCGTCATTGCGTCGCGCTCCGTCAAACACGATGCCGCTCCATTGGACCCCTCGTATGTCCGGGCTACAACATACCTCTCGGGGTATGTCATCCGATCTACATCGACGTCGGCATGCGAAGTGACCATGCTTGTCCACATGAACTTGGGCGGGTCGTTGCCGTCGTTCGTCATCAACATGCTCGCAGTCGATGCACCGCTCCATCTCATCGGCAAACTACGTGAGTTGTACGCCGATCCCGACAGCGACTAAAACAACGGCGACGACACGTACATTCGCCATGCAACGAACGATGCATGACGTGTCGATCGCATGCGAACGCCACGTGGGGGTTCACATGCAAAAATGCATATTTTCATTATTATATGGTGGCACTCTCAGCAAAAATTTGCACATATCGAGCCAAGACAGAGGAAAAATTGCATATTTTTCGTACAAATTCCTGGAGTGTCCTAATTATCATTGGAATGGCTCAATTCAGCGACGCAAACGCGCTGTTAAAGTAGCCGTAGATCATGAGCAGGATCCAGAGATAGCTGAATGGGACGCCCATGATCCACAGGAAGAGGAACACGAGAATGAGGTTCCCGCCGCTGAGACCGCCTCCTTGTTGCTGTGGTGCATCCTGCGCGCTGCCGGTGTCCTGCCGTGTTTGCCCCCGTCGCCCTCGCTGATGTGGTATGCCGCCTCCTGGCCCGCCAAAATGGAATGCAAACCCGGGAGCACCGCCAAAGTTGGACATGTGCACTCGATGGCCGCCGGCATGCATCCCCTGCTGGAAGAACATGTTGAACGGGTCTTGTCCGCCAAAGAACGCCTGGAATATCTCTTCCGCGTTGTGCTGGTTGAAGTGCGGATGCATGCCGCCACCCGCGCCATTGGATCCATCGACGGCGGACTTTCCAAACCGATCGTACGCTTGCTTCTTGTCTTCGTCCGACAGGATCGAGTACGCCTACAACATTCGCGGCCTGTGAATCACAACAGTATCGAGGTGGATGCATGAGGCGCCGAAGACCTCGCCGATCTCTTTGAACTTGACTTCGGCCTCCGTTTGATTGTCCGGGTTCTTGTCTACAACCCTCAACAGTCATGAAGGATGAGTCGACTGAATGACCCGTCGATGGTGCGTCCTACCTGGATGGTATTTAATCGCAAGCTTTCGGTAAGCCTTCTTGATCTCATCTTGTGAGGCCGTCCTGGGGAGCCCAAGCGTCTCGTAGTAGTCTGCCATCGTCGTCTGGCGATCCTTCGGAAGGGGTCGGCGCTGCCACTTGGCGTCTTGAGGAACTCGGCCCTTCGAAATGCACCAACCAGGTGCTATTGCACAAAATTGCCTGTCGCTTAAAATTCGGAAACCGCGCAAAAATCACAAGAATTTTGTATCTCATTCTAAATAGAGTTTCTGCAAAATGTGCAAAAATATTGTTTTTACCCAAATTTCAAGAAGTTGGCACAATTTCCCAACTGTAAATGACGCTTGGACATGCAGAGTGTTGTTCCCAACTTGCGGATGTCAGTAATATCAACTTTAACAGGTTCTTTTGAACGACTCAAAGAAATCCTCCATCCACATCTGTCTACCCTGCTTCGGACACGATGACCTCTTATGTATGAAAGTTGCATCGGCCTCGAGCTGCCATGATGAATCCTTTGCCGACGTACCTACGCGACAGCTGCGTTACGTTAAAATTTAATTTACAATCGAAGGGAAATTCATGTTCACAATACCTCTTAAATATAATATTCCCCGTGACCAGCACGGCATTGAATTCCGTGCCTTCTTCCAATTTGATTGGCTATAATCATACGAATTTCCGTCGGTCCATCACAGTTTTTTTGAATCTACAGTTTCCATCGACAAAAGGAATGACACTTCTGAGGTGTATTGAAGTATACAGGCAGTAGATCATGTTTTAGAGGGGGTCCGCTTTTTGGGGGTGTCGACCTTTTCCAGGGCTCACATTACTGTAATGCGAGGTCTGTATGGCCCGAGTGTCGATGGATGATGCAAACCACTTAAACACTATAAATCGGCAATCCTAGCCATTCGATGTTACAAGTCCAATTGAGCTCAACATGAGGTGCTCGCTACACCACCCTCGATCCCGTTGTGTCGTCGGCGTTCCCACCAAGAACCTACATGCATGTGTACACTCGAATGTGTCTCGTGCAATATGGTAAAACATCCAGCTTCCTTCTGTCCTTTTACAAATGTATCAAAAAATCGTGTCGATCCATCAAAAATGCAAAAACAGGACCACGAAATTGACATAAAAAAACGCAATGCATTCGGATGGGTCTCCCCGTCGACGGTTTGATTTTCCAGTAGACAGAGGCAACTCCACGTGGACATGGGGAAAACCCCCATGTCGACACGATATTTGTTACACAGGCCTTTGGGCAAGAGCCCACGGGGCCTCACCGAAACACTGGAACTCAAGTTGCTCACAGCGACGCGTCTCATGTATCACCTGTAGTGAAACCATCCTGCCTGGCCTGTGGGTGCAGCATTCTCGCCACTGGTCGCGCGCGTCATGCGTCGCCGAGTCGTCGTGTTCACGCCTTCCTCGATGCTTGGACGCGAGGCGTTCATGGCGAGGACCGCAATCGTGTGTAGGTTGTCTGCGCAGCAGTGTGCGGTGATGAAAGAGAGTTTCTCAGTGCTTCGCCGCCACCTCTCCACCCGTCTCGGCGTGCGTTCGACGTTGCATTCGCATGTAACACTCGTGTCGCGGTGACTTTTCGCCGATACAAATGTCCATATAAACACCTGGGGCGCTGCAATTGGTCGATTCCTCGGGGACTCCCCATTTCAGAATCGTTGATTGGTCGTAAAAGGACATTGCATTTTGTTTGATTGGCTCACATTTTAGAATTCGTCGAATACGACCTTTTGATTGGTGGATTTGCTTCCCAACATTTGTGCCAATTCCGCCCCGGCTTTTCTCGTGTCGCATCAAGTTGTCCGGCACTTTGCATCCGGATCAAAGGATGTTTTCGCGGGAGAGTATGGCCGTCGGCGGCGGAGGTGCGTCGTCGGCCGTCAGGCTGCCGCGTCGGAGCGCTGGCGAAGTCGCTTTCGACCTGGATGCTCCATCAAACTCGTCCCTTGCGTTTGAACCTGCCGAAGTTATGACGTTCACGCTCGTGCATCCGACTCCGTCCAAGACATTCCAGTTGCTGTCGGTTGTGAACCTGCATCCTTCCCACACCACGTTCTTCAGCGTCAAGACGCTCAAACCGGAACGGTACTTTATCAAACCTAGCAAATGCATGCTTGGTCCTCGCGAACAGATCGTCGTGCGGATCGAACTGCGGCAAGCGCTGTACGACGAAGTCATCGTTCACTTCTCCCACGAGCATAAGCTCGTGACGGATCGCCTGCTTATCCAAAGCGGGTGTAACACGAACCCCATCCACGACAGCGCGTTCCAAGCAGCGTTGCAGTTCAAGAACGAACCGAAAAGCAAAGAAAAGGACGCAGCATGGAGCGCCGCATGGAAGACGCTCACATCGAGTCAAATCCACGCCAAGAACCTCATCATGCGGTTCGAAGCGTCGCCCGATTTCGGTAAGGTGCCTCAAACGATCGACACGTCGACCCCATCTACGACAGCGGTTGCACTGCGCGCCACAATTCCGCGACAGCCAGCCGTGTCGGATCCGCTCTTCACTACACACGAATCCACTTTCTCCATCGAAGAAGTATTCCACGACATTCCTGCGACACAGCAACAAGCGCCACATTCCCAACGGAAACTTGCACCACCTAAACCGACGCATGTTCCGGCGCCGAGGACTGCGCCGCCCGTCGACTCGTCTGCATCGCGCAAATCGTCTGTCGGGAAGCGGGAAAAGTCGGGTCTGTCCCTGGCGCTCGTTCCGTCGACAGAGTCGCTCGTGTTTTCCGTCTCTCCGCACAATACGACGTCGTACTCGACCTTGTCGATCGAAAACTTGGCCCCGCACCAGCGCGTGTGCTTCACGGTGCGCATCGAGAGCAAGTTTCGTTGTAAATCGTTGCCATATCGCGTCGGCTTGATCGACGGTGCCGGGACCGCGTCCGTGCAGCTCGAGCTCGCCATGTCGTTGCACAACGAGATCGTCCAACAACTCGCACAGGCCGTCGATATTGAACCGTTCAAAGTTCGACTGCAAGTCATGGAAATGGACGACGTCACGGCCGCCGCGGCAACCGCGCTTCCCACAGACGAAGCGCGCGCGCAGTTTCTCAAGGCGCTGTGGCAGAGCCCACCGAAGCGTATGTTTGTCCAGAAGTATGTGGCGGCCTTCGTCTTGGACAAGACTCCACCTGCAGCGACAACGGTAGCGGCAGTCGTGCCGACGCCTGCACCGGCAATTGTCGGTCCTGGCGGCGGCGGCGGCGATGACGACGACAAATTTGGAGATGCCGAGCGACTGTCCGTCGTGTCCGAGTGCGCCTCGTACGCGACAGCGTTTACGCGTGCGCCTCCAATGCGGCCCATCATGACCCCGCTAGAGCATCTCCAGTACCAGCGCAGCCTCAACCGCCACTTGTTAAACCAAAACGGAACCAACGACAACGCAGGGCCGTTGCGAGCGACGATTTTGGAGCTCACGGAAGCAGACGAGTTGTTCGCGGCGCAAGAAAACGCCCGGCAGGCCAAGAAGGACCAGGTCCAACCCGAGCCGGAACCCACCATCGATTCGTTGATCGACCCGGAAATCCTGCGGCAAGTTGTGCCAAGCCAGCCTTCTGTCGAGAACATTGCTCTGCAAGACAAGATGCAAGCTCGGCCTTTCGCGGCATGTCCCTCGAAGGATATGGAAAATTCCATGCCTATCGTTCCAACTGTTGCCTCCGCTGAGCCCGATGTGGTCAAGTCACATCCACCAGTTCTAGCCCCCACAGCCAGCATGGCCGCTGTTCCTCCAGCACGCACACTGCCAACTGTGCCTTCCGAAACACGCGAAAAAACGACTGCCCGAGTCCCTCCTGCAGTCGAACCGGCCTTGCTACTGCCACCGACCGCGCCATCAACTGGCCATCCTGTCATCGTTGAAGCGCCCGTCCTGACTCCACGATCAGCTCCGGCGCCATCCCAGGTTGTCCGGCAGTCCATCTCGTCGGCTGCGCTTCCCCCACTTGCGTCTATTCCACCTCCTAAGTCTGCATCTCCGATTGAAAAAACAACGACTCCTTCAGCGCCTGCGGAGCAAACGGTGACACGATCCATGTCCGGAGATGAAGAAATTGTAACCCGATCAGTGCGAACTGGATCAACGACAACTCAACCAGTCGCAACTCTGGTGCCGGTGGCTCCCGCACGAGCTCGTTCGGCTGTGGCGTCGTCGTACTTGGCGGCAGTGGCGTCTGTGTCGACCTCTCCAACCACGTCTGCCACTTCCAAACGTGCTCCTTCTGTCACTCCTGCGGTTGTCGCTTCGGTTGTTGCTGTGGCGCCACCACATCCGCTTCCAGCAGTCGTGGAGGGTGGTGCATCCGTGACCCCACAGTCGACAGCTCCCTTGGCTGCTGCTCCTGTGCCTGTTTCACCAGGTATTGCTGCTGTAGAACCTGCGACTCCTGTTCAACTTGCCTCTCGCCCTGAGCAATCGGCCCAAGCGAATGCATCACCCTTGTCTACTGAGGCCACTGGGGACGCGACTGCGCCGGAGGACCCAACGCTGTCGTCTCGGTCCCTTTCGTTGTCGGACGGCTCGTCCCGTCCATCCTCGACGACTGAAGATGATGCCTCTTTCATGGCACTTGAGCCGTCGGTTGATATAACCCCACCCGTCGTCGATGCCGCGTTGGCTGCCGTGGGGTTGGACCCAAGCATCAAGAGCCAGGAAGGCGGGTTTCATGTGCCGAGCAGCGTCCCACCGGAAACACCGGCCGCGACCATTGACGTCGACGACGACGATAGCAGCCAAGAGCAGGACGAGAGCGAAGAGAGCTCGGGGTCGGAGGACAGCCATGAAGAAATCGATGCCCACGACGGCCGTGCCGCGAGCTTCCCCAGCGATGCGGACAGCGAAAGCAGCGACGGCATGGACAAGTTTGACGAAGAAGGCGACGATCTCGTTTCCGAGTTGCAGCCACGTCGAGAGTCGCATGACGACTGGTCGGTATTTAACCCACGGCCTTCCACCATCGACGACGATGCGTCCGGTTTCTCGATCCTCACGTACTCGGATTCCCAGTCTGACCAGCCACGATCTCCGGAGACGGCGCCAACGCCAGCCATGGACTGGGTCTACGACGAGCAACAACAAGCGTTTGTCGAAACCTCGGCAGTTCACAGCGCGCAGGACATCCCGAGTCCTCCAACTAGTCCCCGGTCGTCGTCGAATCTGTCGCCGTCGGCCCACCACGACCGGCCGCCTCCATTGGCCACGAATGGCGCGTCCCCTGTGGCGTCTCCGACATCGTCGCCGGCGAGGCTGTCCTCGCACAAGTCCAAGTCCCGTTTCTCGCTCTTGAAGGCGTTCGAGCGCAACCACGGCCCAAGCAAACCCGTGGGCCTCGTCACGCTGACCCCGCAGACAATTCTGTATCACATGGACGTGGGGTCCAAGCCGTCGGGCAAGGTCACGTTGACGAACTTGACGAGCTCTCTCGTCGTGTACAAGATCAAGAGTGCCCAGCCCGCGCGGTACAAGGTCAAACCGAGCCAAGGCTTTATCGAACCGCGAGGCCACGTCGTTGTCGCGGTCGATTTGCAAGTCGATGCGTACGACGAGCTCATTCGCTTGAGCAGCATGGAACTCGGCGACATTCGCGACTGCCTCCTCGTAGAAACGGTCAAAGGGCCGTCGTCGCGGTCGGCGAAAGCGCTGCGAAATGCCAAGACCCACGGCGAACTCGTCGGCATTCTCCGCGCGCTGTGGAGCACCGTTGACAAGAAGGAAGTGAACGCGTCCCGACTCTTTTGTGAATACTCGTTTGACGACAGCGCGTACCAGAGCTTCACGGCCACGGTCGACGGACCGACCGTGCCACTCGTCGACGAGCCCAAAACGCCCCCAGCCACCAAACAAGCCAAGCGATTTGGCTGGAAACGATCCAAGACCAACAAAGTGCTGCGGAATGCCCTGTAATAGCACAACCAAATTCCCTCGCGCACCTGTAAAAATGAACGTTGACGTGTGTAGTTGTCAGCTAGTCGGTGGTTTACATAGCTGTCGGAGGCGGGCCATCGATTTGATGGTAGCTCGAACTTGACCCATTCCATCGCTCATGGATACGTCGAACGAGACCTCGCTGGACAACGCCAAAAGCAGATCGTGGAGCTTCCAGCGTTGCCCATCCCCCCTGACCATGCAGGCTTGCGACGACATGGCGTAGCATCATTCCTTCGCACTCTCTTGCATCGTCCAGCGGCGTCAATCGTCTGTCCTGCATCCAGCATTCCCCCGCCGACGACGACCTTTGGGCAGGCGTCGGCGCTCACGTCACGTACGGGATCTCGAAACGAGGGCTGCATGAGCTATTGTAGAGGCAGCCACGAGCACACCGGCTTCCTTCGCCCGATCTTTCAGTCGCCACAACCCGATCGCCGTCGACGCTGTCGGGAGCCTTGCGCCAACGTGCACATTTGAACCGTCGCCAGCGTCGGTGAAACGGGCGCAGGCATGTGTAACCGCCAGTAACCGCCCATGCATCCAAGGACGGTGCGAATGGCGGACGACGAGGACCTCGACCGCGGAGCGGAACTGCGCCTCGCCCAGCGCCACAAAGTGATTGTTCCCGGTGTCTTGCACGGAAAGAAGCTGTGGGAAGCAGCATTGCATTCACCGGGAACGACGGGGGCAGCGACTCTTAGCGTTTCGACGACCGGGCCCCTTCCCAAGGACAGCAAGATCGTGCTCGAATTTCCCGACACGGGGTGGACCATGCCACCAAACCCAAACGTGACCATCAAAGCGTCACTCGGCCGACCCGCTCCACGCGCCAAAGCGATCTGGAATGGCGCCACGTTGGACATCACCACCCTAGACGAAGACATCGAGGCCCGGTGCGTCGAATTCTCGACAAGTTGGACAAGTTGATGGAGCCGTAGGGCGTCGCTGGCGATCATTGTGTCTGGGGTCACCACGCCTGCTTGCGCCACGCCAAGCGGAGAGCTGATCGCGACAACGTTCGAGCAAAAGATCGTACGAAACACGATGCCCGTGTCGTTCCGCGGTGGCCAGATTATCGACGGCCCAACCAAGATCACGATCCCAACGCTAGCCCCCGGTACATCCCCTCCTTCTGCCGTCCACGGGTCAGTGTGGAAAAACGTGCAGGGGCCTTGGTCGGGGCGAAGCGGTGGGCGCCGTTCAACTGTTGCCCGCTCGCAGTCGCTGATGTGTTTCTGGATTTTCGAGTCACCGGCGCCGTCCCAAATTCAGGTAAATGGTGTCGCCCGCTTTCGTGTCGGCTCCACTGTTCACGCGACGCATGTCAGGCAAGATTCTTGTGGAGCTGCCCACGGATGCAGTCGCCGCCGACAGGGACGGGTGGACGATGGCAGAGCACCCTCGCGTCACTGCCAAGCTTCGCCCGCCGGGATCGGCTAACGTCGGGTTCGCGGCCACGTGGCTCCAAGATCAGCATGTGCTGGAGCTAGTGGTCACAGAAGGGTGCATTCCCATGCACACGACTGTGCAGCTCACGATTGCACAAGTCACCAACCCCGCGTCCGAGTGCCCGCCGACCGTGGCCCGCGTAACAACCCTCATTCACAACGGGGTCATCGACGGCCCGGCCAAAATGGACGTGCCACGCATCAGCGAACTCCGGGAGTGCGATTTTGCCGCTGCGGCCGCCGCGTTTCACGCGCAGGAGTCAAAGTATGCCACAGTGAGCACACGCAACCGTTTTGTCTGTCTTGAAACCCACCGATGGGGCGGATGCACTTGGGTAGAGACGACATGCTGCCACTGGCCAAAGTTGTGCAGGCGCTCGCCGCCATGTCCATCGCACAGACAGAAGCGTCACTGCAGGGCCAGGTGCGAGTCGTGTCGGTGGAGCAACCAGTGGACGTTGTCCCGGTGCTTTCCAAGAAAGGCGCGGCGGACTCGACGCCTGCCCAGCCCAAAGTGCAAGAATTCGTGCGGCTCGAAGACTACCTCAACTTCTTCACCACGATTTACGCCCCAGCGTTCAAGTTTGGCGAAGACTTGCGCACGGCCGCAGGGCGCGGGCAGGTAGGACCGAGTCGATCCAACGATGACGATGACGTCCGAAGGAAGGTGGATCGCATGCAGGACCTGATTCAATGCGGTTGCGATCCGAATGCCAAAGATGGCGCCGGGTGGACCGCTCTGCATTACGCCGCCGAGCACGGCGCCGTCAAAGCAGTCAACGTCCTCTTGGACCAGCCCCAAGTCGACTTGAATACCCGCGACGTCGCCGGCTGGACACCGCTCATGTGTGCAGCATCAAACGGCCACGTGCCTGTGCTTGCTCGGTTGCTAGGTACACCTCGTCGTCTCTCCGTTCGGCGTGGAGTCGATACTTGGTGGTAGAAATGGGAGCAGACATTCGTGTGAAGAGCGCGGAAGGGCGGACGGCGCTGCACTGGGCTGCCACTCGTGGCATCGACGCAGCCGTATGTCTCAAGTGTATCTGCTGGTACGGGATTCAACTTTGGGTTAGGTGGGCTTCCTCGTCCTCGGGGGCGCCAACGTCGATGCCGTCGACCGATCCGGCTGGACCCCTCTCCACTGCGCCGCTGTTCATGGCAACGTAGGGTGTGCGAAGGTGCTGTTGGACCACGGCGCGACAGCGACTGCAGTGGATGCGCTCGGCCATCCCGCGTGGGAGTACTGGGACGCCCCTGCCGTGACAGTGCTCCAAGCTCACATGGAAAAGCTCGACACGATGGGGGTTGTCGTGAAGAAGGTCGTCGCGGCGACTTGAGTCCACAAAACGAGTGATGATCCATCTAAGTTGTCGTACGACTGTCTCTGCTGCATCATCCAAACACAACCAAGTGCACGGCATTCGTTGTCGGTGGTCTTTATCGCAGTCTTGAACGACTCTCTCCGTGCCGTGGTCGACTAGGTAGAGCATCTCACGCTAGAAAACCAGCACATGGAGCACTGGAGCCACCCCTCGCAAGCAGCGCGCGCTCAGTCTCCTTGACCAGACACGTCTCGGGCGGTCGTTGGCCGGGCTAGGATGCCCACGATGGTGGTGGAACCGAGAAATCCCACGTCGCCCCCTACAACCCGTGCTGAATCGACAAAAACGCGGACCAGAAACCACACGAGTCGAGTTGTGCATGGAAGCGTTGGTCGGGTACCTTGTATCGAAACGCGTGGAGGTAAATGCCTTGGCAGTGGCGCTGCTCCCAATTGAACGTTATGTGTTCGCCGATTTGGCATGCGTCGCAAATACTTTCCATGGTGATCTTTGCCATCTTGTCTGCTTCGTGTGACACCGACGGCACTTGCGGCTTCAAACGTGGTGTTTGTGCCGCAGGGTCGACGATTGTTGCGGCCACAAACGCCTTGGGCCCATACAAGGGATCGTTTGCGATGGGAAAGCGCAGCGCTTGAAGGTGCACGCGTATCTGGTGCTGGCGGCCAGTGAGCGGCAGGCAGTGAAGGATGCTGTGGCCGTCACTCGTTCGACCGACGCATCGCACGAGTGTCTCACTAGCCTACGCCCGGTCACAATCTCTTTCGCAATCTTTCAGCTCACTTTGCCATCGGGAACAATTCCATGGCGGTTCTCCAAGTCCGCGATGCGGCCGAGCGGCGCCGACACGTGAAAGTAGCCGTGGCCGTCCAGCCGCGTCGTCGTCACCGTGCAGTGCGCTGCATTGCCAACACAACCACATCCATGGAGCGATTCACTTGCAAAGGGCAGAGGTAACCACGTGCGTGGAAGGTCGGGAAAGGCGACAGAGGCCGACAGGTGGGTCGAAGTTGACTCGTTGGTGGTGGCGCCGTCGTTGTCTTCGACGGCTGGAAACACCCCGAGGACTTTGGCGAAGTAGTATTTTTGGACGGAGCGGTCGATGAGCTGCGTCGACAGGTCGGCAGCCACTTCGGCCGACTTGGCCAGGACCAAAAGCCCTATTCCAGCGCCACAGTGATGCATGGTGCGGCAGCATGACAGCAAGATATTGCTATAGATGACAATGTACGAGCAGAGTGATCGCACCGGACGTGAGCCGATCCAACCGATGGACAGGAAAGACGGGGTAGAGGTTCGCGTCTTTGGCCAGGATGAACACGATGCTGTTGTGTCTGTACGCGCCACATGGATGGACAGGAATCGTCGATGGTTTGTTCACAATCACCTATATGAAAGGACGTGATGTTGAGTGCTTCTTGGCTGCTCTGTACCATCTCGTCCGACTCGTACGCCACCATGGATGCAGCATTAAATGCTTGAACACGCGGTTCATGGCGGTGGGTCTAACAGCGCGTTCATGGTAGATTCCACGAAGCTCAACGGATACCTACCACGTGCTCAAGCAAGTCGCCGTCTTTCACCAGCGTCGACGCAGACGTGAGTTGGCCATTGAGCGTGATGAAGCCATGTCGAATCGCGGCGGCGTAGTAATCGGCGCTGTACCCACCAAACTCTTCGACGAACATCTGCAAGAGTGCTTTGCCAAACCACCGCGCCTTCACGTGGACCTGGAACGTGTGCTTGTATGGAGCGACATACCGAAACCCGTCAGGTCTCGTTTCCGACGCTGTTTCGTGGATCATGTCGTCGATAGTGTCCCGTGTCTCGCAATGAAAGGCCCGTTGGTTGCGCCTTTTACGTGGATTTGTCCATGTTCCATCCGCGACGCCCTTGGCCTTCTTCTCCGCCCGCTCCCGCTTCTTCAGCAAGCGCTTCGCCTCGTTCTTGCTTACCGCCGCCATTCTCGTTCCAGAATTTCAATTAAGTACGCCTCCATAAAATGCAATACCTGCTTAAGTCGTGTATTTGAAACCTACAACCACTCCACCATTGCAA